CCCCAAAACCCCAAAACCCCAAAACCCCAAAACCCCGTTTATTATGTTATAATAGAAATGGAGAAAAGAGAGTTTTACCCAACAAAGAGAACGGAAGTATTCTTGATGAATACAAGGACGCATATTGAGGGTACAGACCAAACATCCAAGAGAATCATTCAAGGTAAGGATCCTTCTAAACTCTAGGACATCGAAGGCGCTGACTCAAGAAAAGGTAGGATAAAGAATTTACTTATAGAAACAATGGTGATTTTATCAAGCAAAATAAAATACAGCCTGTTAGCAGAATACGTCCGACAGATAGAGATGGTATGATAAGAAATATAATAGCATAGTCCAGTTTCATCCCAAGTATAAGGAAGGCGTAGTAACTCCTGATGGAGTTAGGAGGAAGAAGAGACGAGAGAATGATATGAATATTAGTCAAGACTCACCTCCTCTTGATTCTAAGGTAGTCCCAACCTTCACTCCAAACTTACGAGCATCAAATTCCACCTTATATACTTCTAATGTGAGAGGAGCAATGACTTCAATCTTGTATAATGGAGACCAGGCTGCATTCACCTCACCTATGGATAGTAATAATTCAACAGCTTTGAATGGCAGGAGATTGGGTACTAGAAATAAAGATAGGGGTTATGCATCCGTTACAAATGATTCTCTAAATGATAGGGTTGATCCTTCCGAGAACTATGAGGAAAACCCATATTTCAAAACTCCTGATGCAATGAGAAGATTGAAAAGGAAACATTTTGGAGTTCCGACAAACCCGAAATACATGAGCTTGATTCCGAACAAAATGAGAGACATTGAAGAGGATATTGATGTTCATGAAATGAACGACTCCGATAATCAGAAGGACAGAAAAGTTCGGGAATACTCTTTTTCCCCCACTAAGACACCTTCTAAAAATGGAAGAGACGAGCTGAACCGAAGAAGACATAATAATTTTCTGAAGAACAAGATCAATAGCTCTAATTATTCAGTGGCGAGGTCACATTTTGACAGGGAGCCTTCCAAGCTGATTTCAACTGTCAATTATTCCAGACTAGGGAAATATAGGGTTGTCCAGAACCCAAAGAGATACCATATTTCTAACTTCAAAATGGAGGACCAGCCAAATTATGATGGGGTAGATAGTAAAATCATACTGTGGTGCACTTGAAAGGCTGATCATAAGAAATACTTCTGCCAGACGGGCAGAAGCTGGACAGAAATAGTTTCACATGACTTTAGATACCTCAAATGGAAGGATGCTTATGAGAACATACTGATTGGACAGAAGCAATGAAAGCAAATTTCAAGGGATATTGAACGGACTTTTCAAAAGCATTATGCTTTCAGGCATACATCAATGGTACACCGGCTGTCAAGAGTCCTCAACGCAATCTCTCTGTATGATCCCAAGCTAGGGTACGTACAAGGCATGAACTTCCTCGTTGGAGCATTTCTGCTCCATTGCGAAGAATGCATAACATTCTGGCTGGTAATTGAACTTTTTGAGAGTTACGAAATGAGAGAGGTCTATGAAGACGGTCTCATAGGAATGTACAGGCATTCAGCAATCTGAGAAAATCTCATTGAGGAATACCTTCCTGAGGTATGGGATCATTTCAAGATTGTTGACATCAGAGTTGAAATGTTTATGAGCGATTGGGCAATCAGCTTCCTATGCTCATACATTCCTCTGAGCAGACTGGATGAATTCTTCACATACTTTTTCAAATACTCTTGGAGGTCGTTCCACTGAATGGTCCTAGCCATTCTTGAGTATTTAAAGTTTGAAATAGTCAAAAGTGATGACATGCCTTCATGAATGAACACGATTAAGATGTTGAAGGAGCATAGAAACTCCTTTAAATTTGATAGATCAAGTTTTCGGAAAAAGAAACCAGAAATGCATGGTATGAAGCACTGCATGGATCTTCCCAAACTCAGGTTTGAAAATAAAAAGAAGAAAGATACCCTTACCCTTTCTTTCAGGAAGGAGATGGAGGAGGTAGAGCAACAGATCTCCCATGAAAAGTGGGATGAAGTATTTGATCTCTTCAGGAAGTACCTCAGGAAGGTAACGAAGGAGAAATACAAGGAAGTCTACGCCAAGGTGCAGGTCTAATTCCTCATTTTTCGCTTGGTTCATGATTGCCATGATTTTGGAATTCTTTCAATTCAAAGACCTTTGGTAGGGGTTTTGGGGTTTTGGGGTTTTGGGG